AAAAATCACTGCCATTGTGTTGGTTCCAACTTATAGTGATCCCTCCTTGGGTTTCCAAGGCAGTATCTCAATGGAAGTAAGTTGCCCAGTCTACCTTCTGAGGAGTGGCTGGTGGGTTTGAATGATCAGCCTTCTGGTTAGAAGTCCGCTGCTTTAGTTACTACACCATGAGAGCTCCCATAGGAGAAAATATCTCTTCTAATGACTCATAAAGCATAGTTTACAGTGACCCTGCAAAGGACATGCCTATTGCAAGAGTCACAGCAATCATGGAAGTCTAAAGCATGACATCTCCATCAGCCGTTTATACTTCATTCATAATCCCTCCAAATCTAATTGAAATTTACCAATTTATCCTGACCTATGTTGCCTGGTAACATTGGCATACACCATCTTCATCTGTTTTCAGGGAATGGGAGCTAGGAATTTAACAGAGAGCCAAATTCTCTTGCAGCAGGGTGAAGGGTTTTGTTAACCTGTTGTCCACATTGCTTCTAACACTCCAATTATCTCAAATTTCTCCATCTCTACTGTCCTCCATCTAGCTAAACTATCTTCATTTTCCACCAGGACTCATCCCGCAACATTCCTATTCACCTGTCATATCCACAAACACACATATGCCTTCCATAAAGCCACATGTCACTCAGAAACCAGAGCTACTTTTAAATTAACATGTGATCATGTTGTCACCTTGTTTAAACTCCCATTTATAGCCCCTAGTCTCCTGTGACTAACACTCAAAATTATTAACATGATTTACAAAATATGTCACATCCTTTACTCTTTGGCTTTCTAATCCCTAATCATAAAGGTCTTCCCATAGATCCTCAATGTTCTTTGACTGCATCACATGGTCTATTTTCCCCATAAGTCTTGGTGCACACTGTTCCCTCTGAAAGATGGGCACCAAGCTGCAACTCCCTTCACCTAGCCATTTTCTCTGTATCCTATTACCACTGGGTAAGAATCCCTAGTGGCACAAATAGTTAAGCATCTGACAATCAAAAGGTTGGTAGTTTGAACCCACCCAGAGGCTCTGCAGAAGAAATACCTGGCAATCTGTTTCCATAAATATTTCTTCCAAGAAAATCCTTTGAGGAGTTCTACTCTGTCACTCAGGTTTGCCACACGTTGAAATCAACTGAATGGCACACAATAGCAACAACAACAACAACAGGGTTGTTGTGACTCTTGAGTTAATATATGTAAAGTATGTATTATGTATCACAGCTATTACATGTAGCTCTTATGGAGATATGTACTTAAATGGCATATTAAGGAAGTCTTCCTTGCCCCCAGTCTATGTTAAATCAGCTGATATATATGTTCCCATTTAACCAGGGCTTTTCCTTTCCTAGGAGCTCTGGTGGTGCAGTGGTTAAAGCATTCAACTGCTAACCAAAGGGCTGATGGTTCAAACCCACTAGCCGCTCTATGGAAGAAAAATGAGGCCATCTGATTATAAAGATTTACAAACCCTGTGGGGCAGTTCAACTCTGTCCTATTGGGTTGCTATGAGTTGGAATTAACTCAGTGGCAGTGAGTTTGGTTGGTTCGGTCTCCTTTCATATTATTCACCTGATTGTCATCCTTTTGTCAATGTCTTTCTTTCACGCTCACCTCTAAATTCCAAAAGAGAAGGTACTCTGGTACTGGAAATCCAGTGTTGCCCAATTCAATGTTGTCCAATATAGAGTAATTACTTATATTGGACAGCACTGAATGTCAAGTTCTGGCAAAAAGTAAGTGCTCAATGAGTATTTCTTGAAATGATAAATAAGTGAGTACTTCAGTTTCAAACATTTTAAGAAATTTCCATATTGAAATATTTAATTAGAAATTAAAGAGTTTGAAGCCAGATAATAATTGATGCCAAGGAATCATCTTGGGACTCATTGATTTAGAGTTGAAAGCAGAAGATGTTGCTATTACTTGAAAGCAACATACAGCAGGCAAAAAAAATATAGATAGTTATTTCCAGGAAAAAAAACAAACAAACTAAGATTTATTGCAAAGCTCTGAGAAATGAGCAAGAAAATGAAATTAACTTAGTATAGGAGAAGTGGAAGAATAAAAGAGTGGAAAAGACATGTCTGAAGTGTAGGCAGGAGAACATTTACGGGAGTAGCAATAATGAGTAAGTACAATTCTACACTAAAAGAAGTCATGCATGATGAGAACTGAAAATTGCCCATGATTTGGAAAAGTAGAAATTATTAGTGACTTCATGGAGAGTCAATTATGCAGAATGATTGGATGAGAGAAAGTTTCCATGAGTTTAAGAGTGAAATAAGAGGAATGCAAGTATACAAGTATACAAGAGGTAATGGCATAAAAGAGATAAAAAGTATTCAAAGCCATGTATGTTTTCAGGGGATAATGCAATGCCTTAGATGGAATAAGTATGCAATGAATCATTACTAACTCAATTACTATATATTATATGCATAATGAAGGAGCTCTGGTGGCACAGTGCCTAAGGCATTTGACTGATAACCGGAAGGCTAGAGGTTCAAACATACCAACCACTCCTTGGAAGGAAGATTGGGTAATCTACTTCTGTAGTGATACTGCCTTGGAAACCCAATGAAGGGTCACTATGAGTTGAATCGACTTGATGGCGTGAGTTTGTTTTTTTTGGTTTATATGATAATGAAGAGTTCCTGGATGGTCCATGACTACTAGTCAAAAGTTTGGCAATTCAAACTCATCCAGAGCAGCTTCTGAAATAAGGCCTTGAAATTTGCTTCTTAAAGGTCACGGTCTTGAAAAAATCCCGTGAAGTTCTACTATTACACACATGGGTTGCCAAGAGTCAGAATTCATTCTCTGGCAACTTACAACAGTATATATAAATAATGTGGCATATATTTAATAATAATGGATATTTGTAGATAGACTGAAAAACAGAGAAACTTTGACAACGTATATTGTGCCTTGTGGAAATCCTAGTAGCAAGTGACTTCCTAATTTTGCTCTTCAGTACTTGGGCAGGTCTGTGGAGAGCTTTTCTACAGCACCACTGAGGAAGCATCACTAAAAATAATTTAAAAAATAATGGCTTTGGTCACTTTGATTCAATTGAATAGTTTCAAGTGTGAAGAAAAAGACATTTTTGAAGAAAGAATGGAAAGAAGTCACCAATAATTGGAGAACAGAAAGTCACAGTTCTAAATATATTGTCTATTATTGCAAAAAGGAGCTCTGGTGGTGTTAAGGCATTTGGCTGCTAACCAAATGGTTGGTGGTTCAAACCCCAATGAGGGTAGCTATGATTTGGAATCACCTTGATGGCAGGGAGTTTTGAATTTGTTATTACAAAAGAACTGATTAACAAGTAAGTACCAAGTTCTATTGCATATTCACAGACTTTACAGTTGGCCACAGTAGAAAATTCTTCCTGAGATTATGTCTGCCACAGTCTATATATAATAATAATGATAATAATATATAACATATATATGAGACTCTCCTAGAATTGTACCTCTCTAAGCAGTGTGACTGACAATCAAGAGTGAAGATTCACATCAAGTGAATGACAAGGAAAACAAATAAAATATTCAGTAGAATGTGTGAAGATGTATGCATAGGCCCTTTGTTGTTGTTGTTGTTATTTGCCGTCGAGTCGACCCCTACTCATAGCGACCCCTCCTTGGGTTTCTGAGGCAGTATCACTATGGAAGTAGGATTGCCCAAACTTCCTTCCGAGGAGTGGCTGGTGGGTTTGTGCATAGGCCCTAGTGGAAAAAAAATCTGTGGCAGAATTTAAGGCTTTACACCATTATCTGAGCTGGTTTGGCTAAATGACTCATGTGAAGTAGATAAAGGTAAGTAAAACAAATGATGTTTACCTGCAGAAAATCTTTTAAAATGTTGGTGTCATTCTAACCAAAAATCTCTTCAGGACATTATTCAAACACTAAAGTAAATTTTAAAAATAATAATATAAAATAATTTAAAAGAAAATTTCCAAGACCTGTGTTCTTTACATACTTGCAAAAGGTTAATAAAAAGTGGTTAATCAAATTTAAAATATGAAATTAAGTGTATAAATGATTTCTTAGAGTTAAGTTAAAATTTAAGAAACATAATACTTCAACAGGATTAATGCTATTATAGTGATTAAAGATGTTCTCCATATCTTATTATTATTTGCCCACTTCTGACTAGTAGGTCCTCTCTCTCAAGTACATTGGAGCAGCAGCAAAATTTCTCCAAACTTGAAAATATATTTATCCTCTGATAATGAAATTGCATTATATCACATACATTGGTTAAGATCAATCACCTAATAGAAGTAATTTTTAAGTGTCTAAGGATCTCCTAAAGTACAATCAAGGTTATATCAGAAGGCTAAGGATGTGTTAGCATGTCTCCTGTGGCTGTCTAATCCAGTGTGTTAAATCCAAAAGTAGTTACCATCTAGTTGACCTGGACTCATAGAGGCCTCAACACATAGTCCTACCATGTATGTCAGAGTAGAACTGTGCTTCATAGTGTTTTCAAATGGCTGATTTTTTGGAAGTAGATCACCAGGCCTTTCTTCAAAGGTGCCTCTGGGTAGACAACATTTATATTAGCCAAACCAAACCAAACCCACTTCCACTGAGTCTATTCTAAACTGTAGCACTCATAGTGCCCCTTTAGGACAGAGCAGAATTTCCCATAGGGTTTCTAAGGTTGTACATTTTTACTGAAGCAGACTGTCACATCTTTCTCCTATGGAGCAGCTGGTGGTTTTGAACCCCAACCTTCCAGTTAGAAACCAAGCACTTAAGCATTGTGCCATAAGAGCTCTAACAACAACAATATAACCCCTAAACAAAGAGTTCAAGAAAATAAAGGTAATTACAAGCCTAATTTTATATTGCTTTTTGGTCTCATTGCAAATTACTGGAACAACAAATTTGAAAAGAAAAAGAGAGATAGGTAGAATAAGGAAGGGAGGTGAAAAGGGTTGGTTGTAAGAGACATAAGGCTGTGTGAATTGTTACTACCTCCACAGACCACACCACTGAGATCTTCACAGCTGCGATCATCACACTCACAGGTCTTGCCATACACCCTTTGATCTCCTGGAGGGTAGCAAGTACATTTGCCACATTCACATTTACCTGTAAGACATAAGGAGACAATGTACTCATTATGAAATTAGCAGAATCAGTAAGGGTTTCAAAGGAAACAACTAAACCAAAGCCTTTCAGACCACTTCTAGTCTGTGTCTGATAAGAAGTCAGCAAGCAACTTATCCTACCTCCTTAGGTTGAACTGAAGGACAAGCATAAATGCTCAGGAGGTCAGGAGTTGAAACGACAGTTACTGGCTCAGAAAACCTTCATATTTACTATTTTTGGTTTCATTCATCTTCAAAGAATAATTCAGTTGTTAAACTCTTTGGGTATCTTATAGTCAACTTGATGTTGCTGTTGTTGTTATGTGCCATTGAGTCGGATCTGACTCATACCAACCCCTCTTTGGATTTCTGAGATTGTATCACTACAGAAGTAGATTGCCCAACCTTCCTTCTGAGTTCAAACCCACCAACCTTCTGGTTAACAGTCAAGTGTCTTAGGCACTATGCTACCAGAGCTTCCATTTTGATGATCTATTTAATATAGTCTCTATGAGTCAGGACAACTTGACAACAATGGATTTATGCAGTATAACATTCAATTTTATATAGCTTAACATAATTTACCATTTATGATTTTTCTAATATTTTTATTTCTGCTCTGTCACATGAGAAAAATGTTTGTAGATACATTTCAAGGTTATGTATTTTGGTGATTATAGGAAGTCAATTCTATAAGTCATAGAGCTAGTTTGCACATGGAACATATGTCAAATACATGACTTAAATATCTTTATTATTCTTGACTTAAGCTTAAAAAGTAAACATTTCCTTTTGGAATGAGTTTGGTTCATAGTTTTTTAATCTCTTACTCATTATCTTTATAATGCCTTCCATCATTATTTCTTGAGCTGTAACAAAGTGTCAAACACTGTAATTCCTTGCATTATCATTTTGTTTTCACAATACCACACATTAACTAGCATTATTACTATTAAACTAAGAACTATTGAGGCCATGTAACTTTCCATGGTGATCCAGCTAGTTAGGGATAGATTCAAGTCATCTTTTCCATGCTCAAAATCTATGTACGTAACCATTATGCTATATATAACTTTCTTCTTCCATTTCAAAAAACAGAACAAAACAAAACAAAAAAAAAAACACTGCTGTCAAGTTGATTACAACTCATAGTGACACCCAATGGGTTTCCAAGGTTGTAAATCTTTACTGAAGTAGATTGCCTCCATGGACCAGCTGGTGAGTTTGAACTGCTGACCTTATGGTTAACAGCCAAATGCATTATCCAGTAAGTCATCAGAGCTCTTTAACCATTATGCTTTACTACATCTTAATATGTTCATAATGTAACATCAGGAAGCTCTGTGGGAAAGTAAATTCCTTTTGTTACAGGAATTGGTACTGGTTTGTCACAAATTCAGCTGGATAACAGCACTTCCAGACATCTGTTACTCTCTGTCATTAACCCAACCATCCTAATTATACAACCCACTGAAATGATCATAGCTGCTTTAGCGCTGACCCTGCAATGTTGTTAGTCATTCTATGGCCGCATTTGTGTCTAGTTAAAGAAATTGAGAGTTGGTAGATGATGGAGGAAAGAAAAATTAGTATTTAGAATCATATAATTTCAGAGCTGTAATTAAGGATAATCTAATGCAGTGATTCATAATCTTTTTCAGCAGAAGTATTAGTGTCATGGCTCCTTTGAGAATCTGATGAAAGCTATAGCAATTGACAATGTTATTTGGCTGCCCTTTGACAAAGCTCCCTTCCTGCTTGGAAGTAGTCTCAAACTCCGCAGGAGCCAGAGGTCCATCTCCTGTACTGATATTCCTTCCTCCTACATTCTGGTGATGAAAACTGAGACATAACAGATACTCTTGGTCAGGCCTTTGATCCTCGAGGGTGAAAAACAAACTCCAGGGTGTCTGGCACAGTGACAAGGGCAATAAGCCTTGTTGTGCCCAGTCAGTGTCCAAGAGTGGTGGACATAGGGGCCGCAGGGTATGGTTGTTGGCAATGCCTTTCTTCCCTGGGTTCCTGCACAAACTGGATTGTCCAAGCTTTCATACCTACCTTAACCTTGTAATACATTCCTCTTCTGCTCCAGTTAATCAGAATTATTTCTGTTGTTTGCAATCAAAAAACCTAATCAAGAACTAGTAGACACTGGGTCCTTCCCTTGAAAATTACACCAGCACACATTTATTTTTTATAAAATTTCAGGAAGATTCATCACTCTCCTCAAATTATTTAATTGATCAGGAAACTCAAACAACTTTTGGGTCAAGCATACTGAGGCTAAATAATTTACTGAAGGCCAGAGAACTATATATTAGCTGTGTTGGTGTTAAACCCCAGTTTTATGAGCCTCAATCATTCTCTGATGTGCATAAACTCTACAGTCTCACCCTCATCTTGTGTTCAATGATGCAGGCTATGGAGAAGAAGTAAGTTATAGGACATCAGTAGTGTGGTCCATCTATCCAGTAAAATTCTATCCATTGTTCAATATTCACCTCAAGTCTAATATCCACCATGAAGCCTTCCTTTCTAGCACCCCTGTTCATGTGCCTGACAAAACTACTCCCTTTCTCTGATCCTATAGCATTATGTTCACACCACTCTTACAGCACTGAACACAAATTTTAAGCTAGGTATGTACATTCCTGAAGCCCAGCATTACTACTGAGCTCTTTGTGGTTCAGACTGACAGAGAGATTTGTATTCTCTTAGAAGCCAACAAAGTTTTCCATTAATGCAGTGGGGGGACACTGATATACAGATTTATTGTCATATATATGAAATGTCTTTCCTTTATTTACTAAATGACATTATTATTTTAGTGATTGTTTTAGTATCATGACAATATAGCTGTAACTTCTCAAATGATAGGAGTTCTGGTAGTGTAGTGCCTAAGGCATTTGACTGCTAACCAGAATGCTGGCAGTTCAAACCCACCAGCCTCTCCTCAGAAGAAAGGTTGTGCAATCTACTTCCGTAGTGATACAGCCTCGGAAACCCAAGGAGGGGTGGCTATGAGTCAGGTCTGACTCGATGGCACATAACAACAACAACAACAACTTTCAAATGATTACCAAATTAATTGTCTCATAAGTAAGGACCAAGAATAATGGAAATCTGTATTTCTAACACTAGTATGTGCTATTTATTTAATAAATTGAGAGGAAAATATAAAGAACTAGATCAAAATTGAAAAAATCCAGATTCACTTACTTCAAGATAATTTTTTTATAAAAAATCAAAAAATATGTATTAAGTATTTGTTTTGTATAAAGCACTAGAAGCAAGTGTGGAAGTATAATGCTAAACAAAATATATATAAGATTCCAATATCTATTACTCTATATAATGGAATTTCATTTGATTCATTATCAACCATCTCCCAAAAAAGGTAAAGAATGATTCTGTTTTCAAATATTAAACATTATTTGTTTTGAAAAATATTATTTTCTTTTTTTGATAAAAATATTAATATTATAAACTGAGATCTCAAATATTTTAATGATTTTTTTTCTTATAAAGTACATCCACTGCTACTGCCACTGCTACCAAATGGATTCCAAGTCATAGTGACCCTATAGGATGGAATAGAACTGCCCCATAGGGTTTCCAAGTCTGTAAATCTTCATGGAAGCAGACTACCTCATCTTTCTCTTATGGAGCAACTGATGAGTTCAAACAACTAACTCTTTTTGATTAGTAGACAAATATTGAACCACTGAACCACCAGAGCTCCTTACAAGATATATAAACCAAAAGCAAACACGCTGCCATTGAATCAATTCTGACTCCTTGTAACCCTATTGGACAAAGTAGAATTGTCCCACAAGATTTCCATAGACAGCTAAAATTTACTAGGGCATTCTTTCATTCTGACCTTAGGTCAGGTCCTATATATAATTCTCTCAACCTCTTAAAAGCATTAATTAAGAAAGGAAGCTTAACAACATTTCAGAATGTTTTT